CAGCAGGCCACCTGGGATCCAAGACCCATTCTGCTTCTTTTCCTTACCCACATGCACCCTCATCTCGATTCGCCCTTCGACAAGATGAACCTGCTGGCGGGCCACCCATCTGGGAGCTGCCTGCTATTAGCACTTTCACAAAGGACAGTCCAACCGCCCAGGTGACAACAACAAAGAGGATGGAAACAGAGGAGCCAGGATGAGCTCCTGACACCAGCTCACTCCCAGCTTCACCGTCCAGCTGGGTGGACGGGGCCCAGAGAGGAGACTGCCCTGCTGGAGGCCACCAGCTGCGTGGCAGGCTCTCCCCTCCGAACATGCCGGCCTTCCCTCCTCATCTTCCTCCCAAGGCGGCTTAGGAAACAAGATAAGTACACGCCAACACAGTGCCGGGTGAGACATGAACCCTGAGAACTGCATTTTGAAAGGAGGATTCTTCTACAAAGGACACACTGAGAATTTATTTCCATTCGGGAGTGTTTTTAACAAGGCACGTGACCACACAGAGAGTGCTCAGGTGGCCTGGTATGGCACCGGCCTCCTCGGCCCCTTCAGCAGGAGCCTCGCCCACACCAGCTCTGTCCCCTCCCTCCTGGGGCCTGCTGCGGCCCTCTCCAGAGTGTCTCCATGTCTGTTATCCCATCCTTATTCCCACGACGGGCGTTTTCAGGAGGGGCGTGAGATGGACGGTGCAGCCTCTGCTCCCAGCCTGCTCAGCACCGAGGACACGTCGGCTGATGTTCCTGGGATGTGAAGCCGCTCTGAACCAATGCCCCCTGTGGTGTCAGTCCCAGGGCCCCGGGAGGAGGCAGCTTGTGTCTCAACGGGCGCCGTGGAGGAAGGCGCTCCAGCCCCTGAACCAGATCTCAGCCGACCTCTCAGACCGTCCTGCAGCTAATGTCCCCAGAGGCCAGCGTGACCCCAGCTAATGGTATTAAAGACTTCATGGTTTCCAGACGCAGAGTTCTTGCTTCATGTGATTCCCAAACATCCCCACGACAATGGTATTATTTTTTGATCCCAACTTTTCAGAAGACTAAAGACCAGAGTGGTAAAGTGCCAACGTCACACAGTGGGAAGGTGAGAAATAACTAAGTGTTTAATATTTTCCAAAAATAGATGACAAAATGGAGAACTTAACCAGAGAAGTGGAATCGATTTGTTAAGATCAAATGGAGTGTGGTAGGGAGAGGGTGTGGGGGGTGGAAGAGGGTATAAAGGTGCAAATGGTAACAGAGAAAATATAATAAAAAATAAACTATTAATTAAAACAAAAATCAAATGGACATTCTAGAATAACAAAAAAAAATACAATAACTGAAATTAGAGATTCAACCATTGATGTAAATTGGAGCTCAGGCACTGATTTGACAAAGCAGATGAAGAAAGGATTAGTAAACTGGAAGTTAAGTCAGTAAAAATATTCTATCTGATGCACGAAACTTTTAAAGAAGGAAGATGGAGGGGGTAAGAAAGGATTTATGGAACATGGTAAAAATGGCCAATAAAATCTAGAGTCCTCGAAGGAAGGGAGAGAATGGGACAGAAGCAACAAAAAGCTACTGGCTGCAAATTTTCAAAACTGATGAAAGTCATCAAATCATCAATTCAAGAAGCTCTTCAAATACCAAGAAGAGTAAGTACAAAGACAACCCCCAGGCCCATATCATTGTACAACTGCTAAAAACCAAAGACAAAGAGAAAATTGTGAAAGCAACTAGAGGAAAAAAACACGCAATTACTTTAAAAGAAGCAACAGTATGTGACAGCTGGCATTTCAACAAAAGTAATAGAAGCTGGAGGATAATGGAACAACACCTTCAAAGGGTAGAAAGTAAAAACCCAGCAACCGAGAGTTCTCTACCTGACAAAATAGACAAGTTCTTGAAAAAAACAACTTTCCAAAACTTAAACAAAGAGAAATATAAAAAACCTTATTTCTGTGAAGGAAATTGGCTCTTCTCATAAAGAAGACTGTAGACCCATAGAGTTTCACTAGTGAATACTTCTAAACGTTTAAGGAATAGCCCAAATCCTCCTCAAACTCTTCCAGGGATTAGAGAGAGGGAACACATCTCAAATTACTTCATAAGTCTGGCATTACCACAGTTGCCAAACCTGTCAAAAGTCACCAAAAGCAGGCTAACATGGCAAGTAAATCTCCCGTGTGTACACAGTCACAAACGTCCTAAGGAAAATATGAGAAAATTGAAACTGATAGGGTGGGGGGAGAATTCCAACCCTCCCAACGGTAACAGTGCTTTCCTCACTTTTAAAGGGACTTGCACATATTACCCATTTTACCCAACAATTTTATTACCACCTACACTTTACACACAGGGAAACTGAGGCCCAAATAAGTGAAGGAACTAGCCCAAGGTCACGCACAGCTAGTGGACTAGATGAAGTCATGCCACTTGATGGACACTCACAGGCACGCGCTGGGGCCCAGCGAGGCCTGGGAATGTCGGCCTGTGCCCCCTCCCTGGCACGTCCCTCCTGCCTCCCTGGACCTCTCATTCCCGGGGCCAGCATCTGCTCCGCTGCAGGTCCAGGCAGACTGCTGGCGCCCGGGCTGCCCGTGGCATTTGGGAGGCCTGTGGCACATGGGGCCTCTCTGCCAGGCCCCGGGTTCCCGCCACTGACCCTGCCCGGAGGAAGCGCACGGCACAGGGAGGTAGAAAGCAGACCTCACGGCCCCCGTGCTGCAGCCTGACTGTCACCGTGTCCAGGCTCCACAGGTTACAAAGTGCCTCTGCCTGCATTTCCCATTGGCCTCAGGGAGGCCTGTACGATGGACATCCATGCTTCCCCTCTGATCGACACCCCCGACCTTGCAGATGAGGCTCTAAGCGGTGGGTAACTCATCTAACACCTACTTAGAGATTAACAGACCCAGAGTGAGACTCAGGGGGCCTTCCTCGCCCTACCGAGAGGCCCCCACCCCACACTGTTCAGTGTGACGGGAGATGTCCTGGATTATACATGATGAGTCAGACAGGGCTGACCCAGACAGATAAAGTTGAAAACTGCACAAAGACTGTATTTAAAAAAACAAAAAAAAAAGAAAACCTCCTGGCTTAGCTCAGTGGTGACATGCATTTTTTTTATTTTAATGTAAAGAACCTAGAGGAATGCGTCCAAAGTGTGAGAGATCAGATGCAAAAAAGAGACAAGACAGTATGAAAAACAGAAACTAAGAACGCCTTTCAAAGGACACAATAAAGCAGGACTCTTTAAATACACTTAAGCCTCAGCAGCAGAAAAAGACAAAGATTTCTGGAACATGGAAAAAATGTCTAATAAGGATGTCTAGAGTCCTAGGAAAAGAGAGAATGGGACAGAACCAACAAAAGCTCCTGGCTGAACATTTTCACAACGGACGAAAGTCATCAAGCCATCAATTCAAGCTCTTCAAATGCCAAGCAGAGTAACTACAAAGAAAACCCCCAGGCCCATCATTGTACAACTGCTAAAAAACGAAGACAAAGAGAAAATTGTGAAAGCAACCAGAGGGGGAAAAACATGCAATTACTTGAAAAGAAGCAACAGTACGTCTGACAGCTGGCACTTCAACAAAATGCAGGGAGTCACTGGGAGCTGTTGGGGTGATGTAGTCCGTTTAAAAAGTTTTAAATTACAGGCCAAAAAAAAAAAAAAGGCAGGAAAAGGGGAAGAGAGAGGCTTAGGTCAAGCAGAGAGTAACCGCAGGACACGGGGCCAAGGAGAAACGGCCAACTACAGGGAGCCAAGCCTGGCCCTTTGTCACAATGGAGGCCAGAAGAGTCCCCTTGTGAAACCTGCCTTCTAGAAGAAATGAGGCTGAGGCCCAGCTCAGAAGCTTCTGGATCCAGTGGCAAACAGAAAGAGAAGAGTACCTCCCCAGGACAGAGGAAGCCAGGACCCGTCCGCTGAATGAATCGGTGTGTGCCTCCGAAGAACACTGTCTGGAGAATGTGGGGCCCACCAACAGGCCCCCCACCCACAGGGCTCCAGAGCGACCCCCGAAAACACAACCCTGTCCACCTGAGTGGCACAGTCTATGAAAATGGTAATTTTGTGAACCCAGACCACACAGTGCCCCGTGAACGCAAAATGACATGGTTCCCATAAAATGGCAGAGAGCCAAGTATTTTCCACTTACTGAGTTTGCGTGTGAAGGGGAAATCACCTACGGATAACAGGAAATTGGTGGATGTCAATTTTGGGGACCTTCAAAAAGCATCTGAGAGGAATCCAGACCAAAAATCATGCAAAAGACTGAGTCACATGAGAACTGGGAAGTTCTGCGGTGAATCTGGCCAGCAGGCAGGAGTCAAGCCAGTAAACAAACAGCAGAACAACAGGCACTTCTCGCGAGAGAAGAATGTAAACAGTGAGGTCCCTGGAGGTTGGGCTGGTTTTACTTTGGAAAAATGACTTGGAGAGAGAAGAAAGCGGAAACGTTGCCCCTGAGCACACAGGAAAGAGCGTCCTGGGCTGATGTCACCCAGAAGGGCCCTGAAGCCCAGGGACAGCCTGCTGCAGGGAGAGCAGTTCTGCGCGCACAGTAGGTGTGCAGTGTGAATCTGCCCTGGACCCTGAAGAGTGGCAGAGGGAGGCAAGGAGGCCTCACACAAGCTTGCCCATGGAGAAAGAGCATTCAAATGCACAGGAATTTTTCACCTGGGAAAGGTGGCTGCTTGGGCGATGAATTTCTTTAAACAGAGAAGTTTTAATTTACAGGATTAAAAAAGAAAAAGGGGAAGAGGGAGGTTCAGGTCAAGCTCAGGGAGGGAGAGTCAGGAGTGAGTTCCCAGTAAGAGAAGCTCCCTGGAGTCAGGAGGAGCCCTCTGTGGCGAGGGGCCCACAAGACAAGCGGGGCAACAAGCGGGGACCTTGGTGGACAGACGCCAAGGCCCACGGGAACTGTGGCTTCGGCCACACGCTGGACTCCCTGCCTCCCCACAGGCCCCTCCGCCCACCATGGTCCCTGAACCCAGGCGGCCCGAGAGCCTTACCTGCTGCTGGCTCTGCTCTTCCAGGTTCATCTTCACCTCCAGCGACTGGTGGGCCTCCAGGAAGGCCTTGCGGTGCTTGCGGTCTGCCATGTAGTAGGACATGATGCCCACGATGATGGCGCACAGGTAGAGGAAGACATTGGCCAGGATCTGTGCCACAAGGAGAGGAAAGGACCGTGGTGAACAGACGTCTTCAGGAGAGGGGCTGGGGGAGGCAGTGGGGCGGTGACCCAACTCAAGCCCCGAGTTGCCTGGTGTCCAAAAAGGGACCCGGCAGAGCCTCTGACCCCAGTGGGATGTTTAGGTCCCTGCAGCACCCTGCCCCCCTTGCCACGGCTGCGTGAGGCCCATCCAAGGGCAGGGCTCCAGGCCTAGAATGCAGGCGGGGGTCTGGGGGGCTGCTGTTCTCCCCTCCAGCTTCACACTGCAGCTAAGCTGGCCGATCCCGTCTACCTATGAGGCCTGAGCGGTCCCTCTGCTACCCATTCATTCACTCACTCATTTGTTCCACCACCCTCTTACTTATAAGGCGCACTTAGGTGCTGATTAGCTGGGAAGGAGAGTGAAGAAAGCCCAGGTGCACCAGCTGGGGGTGCAGAACCCTAAAAGTCTCAGGTCATGGAGGACGTCCCAGGAGACCTGAAGAGGTCCTGGGGCTGACTCAGCAGTCGCAGTGCTACCCTCACATGTGCCACAGGTTCACAGGTTCCCGGGGTTCACATGGGTCCTCAGTCAACCCCCTGCCAGCAGGTGAGGGGTGGCCAGGACCAGGAGCCAGGTCCCATGAGGAGCTGAGGCAACAGGAAGGGGAAGGGGCTGTGGGACCTGACGTTTGTCCTGCGAGCTCCGGGTACCGGCACAGAGGGCTCCCCTGGGCCTGGAGAGCCGGTTCCTCAGTCCCGGGTCCCCTGCAGGCCCCTAGGTGTCTGAGGTCCCTGGCCGCTCCAGCAGACTGTTGGGATGGCAGATCTGCTCCCCTCCTGCCAGAGGCAACCCTGGATATGGACCTCGCACCCAAACCACACCTGGTTTCCTGGTACAGGCTACTGCTAGCTCCAACCTCCACGCCCGCCCCCCGCCGCCCCCGCCACTAGGCCTCTGTTGGGGCTGGAGGAGGTTCTAGCTCCTCCCACTTCTCCAAGACAACTGGCAGCGACCAGGAGGCTAATTCTGAAGTTAATTTCTGGGCCCTCGCTGTATCCCCTCTGCCTGTTTTTATGCTTCATCAGGGTTAAAAAACACTCACCCTGAGGACCCACCACCCCCTGCACCAAGTTCCTGCAGGGCCTGCACCCGGTCCCCAGCGCTGAGCCCAGGGAGCCCTCAACAAAGGCCCACCGAGTAACGAATTATTAACGAGTAGGGGAGGTGGACTGTCATCAGGGCACCAGGTACAGGTTTAACAAGCTTCTTAGGTGGCTGGTTCCAGCGACTAACAGCTCATTACAGCCTCGGGCCTGAGCAGCCCTGGTCACCTGCACCATTTGTGGGGCAAGCGGGCGATGCCCAAGTCCCACAGCACATCCCCGCCCCTTCTGCGGGGGCATCACAGCACACTCTGTCTGAGTGGTCAGTGTCAGTGCAGCCTCGGGCCACTTCTTCCCCACCAGATACTCTGAAGGGCTGCCGACTTAAATCCAGTAAGTCAGAGCAAATCACACAGATCCTGTTGGGTCCCAAAGCCCATCAGGCCCAGAGGCCACTTCCTGCGGGGGCTGGAGGCCTGGACAAGCAGCCCACCCCCACGTTCACAGTGCAAGAAGCTGGTCGACGTGGTCAGACTGCCCCCCCCCCGGCCCCCGCATCCTCACTGGGCAGTGGCATTCTGCCAAAGCCCACGTGCTGGGGTCCAGGAACAGCGGCCACTGGGGCTGAGGGTCCCCAGGCTTGCGAGTCTGCGGGTCCCAGAGGGCAAGTGAGACGCTGCTCCCAGAGGAGCCACATGTCCCACCCACACCCACCAGTGTCAGCGACCAGGAACCAGGGGCTCCAGACCAGGCAGCTAGGCTGTCTGTCGCTGACCCTGACCACAGCCAACCTGTGATGTCACGCTAGGCTGGGCACAGAGCTCTGAGCTCGGGGGTCTCCCTGCCCTCCGCAGACAGGTCTTGGCTGATCACCCCAAGATGCGGGCGGGGCGGGCTCTGTGAAGTGTGCAGTGCTTGCTGAGCCTGTGTCAGGAGTGGCTGCTGCTGTGTCCCATCGGGTGTCCATCTGAGAAAGCCGGATGGCTGTGCATGCCATCAGAACGCAGTAGCAGGGAGTTTCAAACCAGACACGGCCCACGGTTGCAGCCCGGAGAGTGGAGCAGGGTTCAGGTCTGACTCAGGCCCGGGGATCCTCTATGCAGGACAGCATTCCTGTCATTAAACGGTGCACTTTTTTTTTTTTTAATAAATCCACTTTTGCTCTCCCCTTGTACGAATGTACAGTGTAATAAATAAACTCAAGAGCGGCCCTGGACTGTGGTGTTGACCCCTGCCAGCCGGGGACCTGCCAAGTCAAATAGCCTCAGTGCCAGTTTCATCACAGATGAGCTGAGGGGTGGACTGACTCATCTCGAAGTTTCCTGCAGCCCTGACACTGTCTGGTCCTCATCCGACCTCACTTCTGAGAGCAAAGGTTGGAACAGGAGACGACCCGGCAAAGAGAGGCCGGGGAAGAGGGCTGGCGGGGAGGGGCGGCCGTTTCCAGCTTGACCAGAGGGCCATGCTGCCTGCTGTCCCCAGCACACCTGGGTCCCACAGGCCTCGTCCCCGCCCCAGCTGCACTCTCAGCTACAGGGACTTGGCAGCAAAAGGTTGCATGTGGGCCTCACCCTGGAGAGAGACATGGATCCCGCAGGTCCCCTCCATGCCACAGAACTTCCTCCCAATCTCCCAGTGAGCTCATCTGTCTCAGACATTTCTCCCGGGAGCCCCCAGGCCTTGGGTTTCTTAGAGCTCCCACAAATATCTGCGCTTGCCTCAACTGAAGAAGGGACCCCTAGAGCGCTGCTGCTCTGGTCCACCCAGCCCCTCCCACGGAGCCAGGGCCACAGGGCCCGAAGGAGCCCGGCAACCCGCCCCTCCCCCGCCGCACCCCTGTGCAGGAGGAGGGCGGCGGGAGGCTCAGCCCCACCTGACAGGCCATCCTCACCGCCAGGCACAGGGCCCAATCCTGACGGGGCAGTGCCACCCCGCCAAGGAGACCCCGGCCAGGGCACAGGGGCTGGCTTTGGGGAGCGAGGCTCGGGAGTGAGCAGGAGAGCTGGGAGGGGGAGTGCTTGGTGCCACCTTAGACCACCCAGCGCCTACAGGGCCAAGAAGCCCTGCTCTGGGCTGCCATCGAGATCCCCTCTTCTCACCCCTGTAGCCTCCTTCAGTCTGGGCAGCAATCTTCTTTCAAAAACATAAATTTTTTTTTAACACAAGATTTTTAAAGTATCGAATAAAATGAACAAATCTCCCAAGTGGGTAAACATTCAGACTAAAGCTTCATCTAACCCACGACAGCCAGAAAAAGTATTTTTAATACCCCCGGCTCAGCCATGCAACCGTGAGAAAATTCCTTTACAAAATCCTTCCTCTCGGAATGGGATGAATCACCATATCCTGCCCGTTTTCTAAAGCCCACGGGAACACAGGCTGCTCTGAGCAGGGCTTTAAGGTGGCAGTCACCCATTGGAGGCAGGCTGGCGGCACAAGCGCCCAGGCTGACCTCTCCCTATACAGACTCATTCCGGCCTGCAGATTCCAAAACACTCCAGAACCAGAGAGGAGGAACCGCGGGAGAGAGCTGCTCTGGGGTGTCAGCGTCTACGCTAGCCGCCCTCAGGGACCTCGTGACGCTCTGCTGCTGGGGGAAGGCCACGCTGACGTCTCTGTTCATTAAAACAAACTTAAATGTTTTGGAAAAAGTCTCCAAGGAGCTGTAACGAAGGAAGCAACAGGGAGACGGCACCCCAAGCAGGCAGCCAGCCTCCCCAGCCCAAGTCTCTGGCGCCTGCCTTGCAGTGCCCGTGAGGTCCCCACCTGCAGGCCGTGGTCACTGCACATCCTCAGAGGGGCCTCCTGGTGGTGAACAAGTCAGGGAAACAGGTCAGGCTGTGCAGTCACACAGACCACGTGGCCTGTAGCAGGTCACTCCGCGGCTCTGAGCCGGGGCCGCCTCACCCTCTCAGCAACCCTGATGGCGGTCCCACAAGATTAAAAGACAGGTTGTCTGTCACACCACCTGACACAAGGCTTGGACAAAATATCCGTAGAGATTTTTTCTTTCTTTTCTTCCAGAGGGGAGAAGGCAAATTAGTACCAATGACAATACCTTAACGAAGTTGTACAAGAGCCTTCACGTTCATTATCTTGTTCATCACAACAAGCCAAGTTTTCTTAGTCTAGTCTTGAGGAAGAGACCTGAAGCCCAGAGACGTTGGTTTATGAGCCCATGGCTACCACAGCAGGACTGAGGCTGGAACCTGGGTCTCTTTCCTCTTTTTATGTCCTTTCTCCCTATAACCACAGAGTTTTCATTTCAAGATATTAAAGAAAAAAATTCCACGCTAGCTCAGGGCCCTGAACACCAGAAGCCAGCCTGACCTGGCATGGGCGGCTCAGGCAGGCCCGCTGCGCTCTCCTGCCTGCTGAGATGCAAGGCTCCCAAGCAGGAGCCACGGCTCCTTTCCCTTTCCTGCCGTCGCCTTGGCTGAGCTCTGAGGATGTGGCTAGAAATGGGCAGAGCCAGAGGCAGGGTGGGGCAAGTGGCACGGAATCCAGCAAGGACCTGGAACACCTAAGCAGACTGGATGGCTGCAGGCAGAAGGGCGACTCTCATGCTGTCCTGGAGCAAACTCAAGCATCACTGTAACAAGAAGTGCCTGGGGTCTCAAATACACACAACCCTACAGCAACACAAGGCAGGGTCAGAGCCTCGGGCTCCCCGGTATGCCTCCTTCCCAGCTGAGCGGGGCCACGGCGCACCTCAAAACGAAAGGGCATTCAGAAGCTGCTCACTTGTTTGACAGCTGGGGCACGGCTCTGCCACACAACATTCAGTGTCCCAGATCTCCCAAAGCAAAGCCCACTTCCAGGACAGACATCCAACCGGGCTGACATGTGATGTGAGGTCCCCCATGATCAGCTCGGTTGCCAGGACAGCCCCTCAGCCTGTGC